TGATCTATCGTTTCATTGACTAAACCTGGGTTCTGCACTAACAGCGCAGAGCCTGCAACTTCGAATCCTAATGTCCCTCTGCCCCTCCCCTGTGTGTGCGCTCTCTCTCAAAAATAAATAAACATTAAAAAAAAATAGGGGTGTCTGAGTGGCTCAGTTGGTTGGGCGTCCCTTCGGCTCAGGTCATGATCTCACGGTCCATGAGTTCAAGCCCCATGTCAGGCCCTGCGCTGACAGTTCAGAGCCTGGAGCCTACTTCAGATTCTGTCTCCCCATCTCTCTACCCCTCCCCCACTCCCCCACTCACACGCTGTCTCTCTCTCTCTCTCAAAAATAAAATAAAAACATAAAAAAAAAAAAAGATTACTGAATAAGAACTTCATTTTCAAAGCTAAGGCAGATGTACCAGGATCTCAGTGCCTGAGTGGCAGCTCCTCAGAAACCCTGGCTTCTGGAGAGAGATAACACAGCAGTAGGTTTTTTTCCCTTAAAGATTACATTAAAACTATAATATTAAATGATAAAAAGGAGTAGCCCAGATTTTAAGAAGTCAGAATTACTGGCCTCCATGGCACCCCAAATAGCCACAACGGTCTCCAGGACTCTGGCTCAGTAAAACACAAACAAACAAATAAAAACTGACCTGCTGTAAACTACTCACTGGTTCCCAGAGAGAGCATGCAAACTGATTTCTGATAATATCTCGTCTCTTCAAACGCCTTTAGTGTACTAGTTTACAACGTTGGCTAACAAAAGAATCACCTGGGAAGCTTTCAAAAGTCCTGAAGCTTAGGCTGTATTCTAGAACAACTAAATTAGAATCTTAGGGGGTGGGATCCAGGCATTGGTATTTTTAAGGCTCCCCAGATGATTCCAATGGTGGCTCAGGCTGAGAACCACAACTATAATAGCTTTGCATTGCCAGCTGAATCAAATCCATTCTCCTTAGCTTGGTGCTGAACTCCTGCCACACCTTGGGCCCCATTTATGTTTCAGGCTTATTTCTTGTACTCCCAATGCACTAGCTTTATCAGTCTGTTATGTTCTTGCATGGTTTACCTGCAGATAAAGATCCCTGTGTTTACTTCCACTTATATTACCTTTGCTTATTCAAATTACATTCATCTTTCAATACCCAGCTCCAATGGTAGTATTTCCACGAAGTGTTCCCTGATTCTCCAGTGTGGTGTTTTTAACATTTATTTATTTTTGAGAGTGCAAGCAGGTAAGGGACGGGGGGGGGGGGGGGGGGGGGGCGGGCAGAAGAGCTCAAGTGGGCTCTGTGCTGACAGCAGCAAGCCCAATGCGGGGCTCAAACTCAAACTGTGAGATCGAAGTCGGACACTCAACCGACTGAGACACCTAGGTGCCCTTCCAGTGTGGTGTTTTTAGAACACGCCCACAAATTGTTGGACTCTTTTCCCACAAAAGGTAGAGTATAATTCCTTTCCCTTTAAATACAGGCTAGCCCTAGTGAATTGATTCCAACAAACAATGTGGTAGAAGTGACTTTTAAGTAAGACTGGGTTAGAAAAAGCCATACAGCCACCTGCTGCTCTCTTTCAACATGCAGCCCAAGATAGAGAGACCAGGTAGAGGGACCACAGAAAGACAGAGTGAGATGCCTGAGAAGCTCAACTATCCCAGCAGACCAGCTTTTTGAGTCTAGGCAGCATCAACTGCCAGACATGCAAACAAATGAACCTTCGGATGATTCCAACCCCTAAGCTTCAAGTCATCCAACTGAGGTCCCAGACATCATGAAGTAGAGACAATTTATCCCTGATATTCCCTGTCTTATTTCCCAAACCATAGAATAAATGGGTATTTAACAACACTAAGTCTCAGGATAACTTGTTACACAGCCATAATAATGGAAACTCACTTCTCTCATTTTATCTCTATATGGTCACATATGGTACTTAACATATTCTTTCACTATTTTTATTACTAAACTTGCTGTGTCTCCCACCCTAGATTGCTAGGTACTTGATGGCAGAACTCCTAGTTTATTGATTTTTGTATCTTCCGCAATGACTTGTCTTAAAATGTATTCAAAATTGGTAACTTCCAGCACAGACAAGAAATAGCCTTCCTAAGGCATGTTTCTGCTTTTGCTTGGTTCCAAATTCCTGGCCCTAATTGTCATTTATCTTCACCTTGCTTAATGAAATTAAAGACCTTATATTCCATCGACAATACAAAGACAACAAAATGTTGAGAACTGAATGTACAAGAATGAATGTAGCAACATGTGGAATGTAACTAATAAAATACAATAATATATATGAATGTAATATAAATACAAACAATATGCATTATGGGTCTGGTGTTAACCTTTCTAATCTTCACTTTAGGGAACTGATGGATTCTTAGCTGTGTGGCTAAGGGGAATGTTTCTGGCCTTGTCTGGTCTGTATGCTCTCCTCTTCTTGAACTGGTTATGTATTCCATGCAAGGTGTTTTATGTCCCACGTCACATGTGCTGGATGTTGGTTCCTTTAAAGGATTGTCAAATGTAAAGAGTTGTCTATTTTAAAAGACAGCACAGAATGGTAGGAAAAGCCTGGACATACAGGGTTGAAATCCTGGGTGGAAGTTACAGTTGGCTGATCTGCCTCCAGCAAACACTTTCACATTGATGATACTCAATCTCCTTAACTGAAAGAAGAGGAGGGAGACACTTACCTTACAGGGTTGTCAAAAACAAGTGACATTAAATACTAACAGTGAATAGGCAGTGATTGGTACATAGTTAGCATTCAAAACCATTAGGTATCTTATCAATTCCCTTAAATTTTCAAGGCAAATTTACTTAGGTTTAGAATTTTTGTGATCTTTATGTATAAAGAAGTTCACTTTTCTCCAACAGGCTCTACAACAGGCTGGAGCTGTGACTTGAAAAATTCTTCGCTCTTTCTGTCTCTGTCTCTCTGTTTCTCTCTTTTGAGCAAGCTCCTTTCCTTTCTCCCTTTCTGGTCTGCTAGACACATGCTAACCTAAACTAAGAGTGTTATTTCAGTCTCTGATATGTTGCCATAAAGAGAGAAGTTTTGAGGTATAATGTAATCAAAAAAGTGCTACCCTACTGAGCAGATATCTTTGATTCCATAATATTTTCTATGTTATAATTCTAAGTGTTCCCCTGGCTGTGGTTTTCAGAGCAGAGATTAGCTATATAACAATTTTATTACTTCTATGAATAGATTTCAAATCAATTTTTTTAAAGTACAGGCCCAAGAGATCAGTACCAGCTCTCTCTCCAACCCTTTTTCTTCACTTAGAGATACTACATCTGTTTACTATCCTTCCCTCTCATCCATTAGCTCACCAAATCTGGTTGATTGTTCCAGTGAAATACCTCTCAAATCTTCCCATTCTTCTTAACCCTGCTACCACTAACATAATTAAGTTTAGATAAGTGCATCTCAAACTTTAATATGTATTGGAATCACTGAGTGAACTTATTATAATGAAATGCAGTCTCTGACTCAATCTTGGTGTGCCCCAAGATTCTGCACTTATAACAAGCTCCTGGGTTATGTAGACGATGCTGTTGGTCCAGGACCACATTCTGGGTTACTAAGATCTATATTAGAGCAACAGCTTCATTCCTGGGCTCCCTGCCCTCACTCTTGCCTGTGTCAATCTTGATGATAAGACCAAAGTGAGAAATTTAAAATACAGGTCTGATCATATCTATTCTGTACCCCTACTCTCAGCCCCATCATCCTAACATTCTTTTCAATGGTCTCGCATAATTGTCAAGGTGAAGTCCAAACTCCTTCGCATAACTTAAAAGGCTTCTTAAGGGGCACGTGGGTGGCTCTGTAGGTTGAGCATCAAACTCTTAATTTCACAGTCATAAGATCAAGCCCCACATTGGGCTCTGTATTAAGTGTAGAGCCTGCTTGCGATTCTCTCTCTCCCTCTCTCAAAATAAATTTATAAATACACATTAAAAAAAACTTCATCCCTCCTTGCTTCTACAGCATTATTTCTCTCTACTCTTTCATTCAGCATATATTTGATAAATGCTACTATGACACAGTTCCTGGCCATAGCCAAGAGCTTGCAATGCCCTTGGCACATCTTTCTTCCTTCTAAAACTTTTTAGATGCTGCTCCCTCTGCTGTGAACATAATAATCCCTCCTTGTTTCTCTGCCTCCAACTTCCCTGGTTAGACCCTCTTCATCATTCGGGACCAAACTTGGGATCATCTCTTCTGGAAGACTTCCCCTTCCCCCATTAGGTATTCCTCCTATATGGCAATCTATTTGTAACATCTGCCTTGCACAGTGCTGGGACAGAGTAGGAACCCAGAGACTACCTGAATGAATAAATAGCATTTATGTTGTTGTATTTTAATGGATTGTTTGACTATTTCCCCATAGTAAAGTTTTTGAGGGCAGGAACCATTATTCATCTTTTATCTCTAGTTGCCAAGGCAACTCAGTAAATATTTGTTGAACACGTGAATGAACGAGTGCATAAAAGAATAAATTAAAAGGTGGCCCAAGATCTCCAAGTCAGAGATATAAGCAAAGTTATGAATGGATTAAAATGTTACAGCTGAAGAAAATAATAAATGCCAGACTCAGATATGGGCTGGAGACAAGGAGGAAAGATCAATGCTCAGGTTTCTAGGGTTCTGTGAGGAATAAGAGTACTACGGGTAAAATTCCCGAACAATCAGGTTTGACAGAAGTTGGATGCAAGTGTAATTGTATAGGAAAAAAAAAAAACAAAAAAAAAACCAAACACTGGAAAAAAACAAAGAGAAGTTCAGCCAAAATCAGTTTTCACAGCTCCCAGATGTTCTGCTAAACTCTTAAAAATTCTCCAGTTTTTAAGTAGTAACTACCTAGTAGAGTGGCTAAGCAAATGTGTTACCAATTAGGGAGTATTTCAAAGGGAGGACCAAAGAGAGATAATTGGAGCACATCTTTTATTGAGCCACGATTATACCCATATGTTCACAAGAAGAAACGCCATATAAGACAGTGAACATATATTTTGTACTTTCCTCTCACTCTTGACCTAGTGTGTCTTGAGAATTCTCATGCTCAGGATTCTACATTGGAGAGAAGATTATTTTCCGGTGAACACATGCCATTCAAACAAAATAGAGTCGTCCCTGACCTCCTGGTGGTTTAAATTAACAACAGACGTGGCAAACCAGACAACAAGCAGAGCCATTGTGCTGGGATCAGGGTAAAGACAAGCAGTGGTGAAGCACAGTGGAGGACTTTGCATCAGATGGGGCCTTGGGAACGCTTCCTGAAGTCCTGGCAACAAAATAAAATAAAACAACTCTTAAAATTAAAAAAAAAAAATCTAACAAAACAAACCAACAAACACACAAAAAACCAAACTAACAAACCAATCAGACAAAAAACCCAAAGGCTGTTAACAAAAAAAAGTCCTCAAAGTTATCAAACAAGAGGCAGGCTCATCTGAAATCTGAGGAAGATATCTGGAAGCAGCAGTGTGTTTCCAACTCCTCTCCTTTCTCCACTGCTCTCCCTCCTTAGCTTTCTCATCCCCTTGCCCTCTGTCTTCCCTCCTCCCGCCTCCTCCAGTCTAATTCGTATAGTATCTCCCATTGCTGGGGGTGTGGATGAAGGCAAGTTAGATCCTGCTTGGAGGGTGGGGTGGGTGAGAGGCAGATCCAAGAGCCAGAGCTGAAGTCCCAGCTCAGAGTCCCTGGGATCCTGATGGGAACAGGAATTCCAACCTGATCCCTGCAGCCGGCTAGGTGGCATTCTTGCCCTCCTCAGCTCACATTCAGGGCCCCTGGTACTTGAAAGATAAACTGGTCCAGTTTTGACAGAAATCACACAGGGAATAGAAGGTGGGAAGATCTAGGAGAATCCCATCCCATGAATTACCAAAGACCCAGGCACCAAATGACTATCTTGGCCATCTGTGTAAACAGATTGGAAAAGTCTAGCCCCACCCACCTCTAGGTTATCCACTGAGCTTCTACTATTTTTATACATTTATATTTTTACATGTTCTGTAAAAGTTGTGTCAATTTTAGCACTTTAAGTGCGTTAAATCTTTAATTTCAATGATGAAAAAAATTAGATGAATTCTGAGTTTTAAAAATCACATTTTCACTTAAATTAAGGCCAAAATGTCAATGCCATGTTGTTGTGCTACAGTACATCTTTGAGAGTAACTTGTTTACTCAGGTTGGCAGTTCATCCATCATGATGGAGAGAATTCTTTATTCTCTCTGAACTCAGTCACAGCAGAGTCAAACAAGGGTAAGTAAAATGATTTCTGGGAAAATATAAATAAGACTACTGTAGAATTTTCATATCATAGAATACCATAAAGAGGGCTATTTCATTTCCAGTTTCTCTTATAACCATGGGCTGTTAGTGTAAGGACTATTCTTGGAAAACTTTTTTTCTTTTCTTTTCATATAGCATTCTTATAGAATATGGGTAATAGTTGAATCCATGAAGTAAATCAAACTCCGAAGACAGAGTATTTAGAGGGAGAAGGCAAAGAGGTGCCAAGACTAAAACCATGGGGAATGCATTGATGTGGGTTCTGACAAGGAAAAAGTAGACATAGCTAACAGGAGTGGTCAGGCAGGTAGGAAAGAACCAGAAACTAATTGTGTAGATCAGGGAGAAGAGACTTTTTTTTTTTGTTTTTTGTCTTTTTAATATGAAATTTATTGTCAAATTGGTTTCCATACAACACCCAGTGCTCATCCCAACAGGTGCCCTCCTCAATGCCCATCATCCACTTTCCCCTCCCTCCCACCCCCCATCAACCCTCAGTTTATTCTCAGTTTTTAAGAGCCTCTTATGGTTTGGTTCCCTCCCTAACTTTTTTTTTTATTCCCTTCCCCTCCTCCATGGTCTTCTGTCAAGTTTCTCAGGATCCACATAAAAGTGAAAACATATGGTATCTCTCTTTCTCTACATGACTTATTTCACTCCACATAACACTCTCCAGTTCCATCCATGTTGCTACAAAAGGCCATATTTCATTCTTTCTCATTGCCAAGTAGTATTCCATTGTGTATATAAACCACAATTTCTTTATCCCAGGGAGAAGAGAGTTTTAAGAAAGGTGAACATAATGGCCTCTAATTCTGCATTTTCAAAATGTTAGTCCTTGAAATTACCTTATAAAATTCACTGCTTGGAATTCAAGGATTATTTACACGAGTGACTCTCTAAAATTTAAAAATGTTTTAAGTCTAGGCTTTTATTTTTAAAGTTGTCATAGTTAAATAGAAATAAAGGAAACAGGGCAAATTGTTTAATTAATGGGAGTTTCCCTCTTATTAATACAACTCAGCTGTGGCATATAACCCAGTCCTTCTCCTAGTCAAGGTTTTATGTTAAATCACCAGCCACTTTCTCCTTAAAGTTTCTTTGAATCTCCTCCAAATAAAGGAGCTCCTCAGAGCCTCCTGAGCCCGGTGTCTAGAAAGCAGGCCAGAGGACCCCTCAACTGGCTGCACAGGCTAGAGGAGAGCGACAGCAGGCAAAAAGAACCAATGGTGCCACATGCCTTTTCCCTTTGGATCTGGTCCCTTTTCTTCACCCACAATTACTCTCCCTTGAGACTTTGATGCTGATGGGTTTTTACCATACTACCTTATATTAAGAAAGATTTTTTTTTAAGCTTTGCTTTTGGTCAATTTTATTTTTAAATCTCTCAGTATGTTTATTTTTGAGCAGCTAGTTTAATCAATTTCATAAACCTGACTCGGTCAATTCTGAGAAAAGTTCACTGAAACCACCTGGGTGACTGGTTAGAAAAAAAAAAAAGAAAGAAAAGTGCCCACCTTTGTGACTAAACTGATTGTCATCTTTCTATTGATAATACAGGTAGAAGAGTTATAATCGATCACCTGTGGGCCAGAATGTGTCTGTACCCCACCCCCATCCACATCACCCAGCCATATTCAACAAATTGATCTTGTTTGATTCTTCTTATTTTTAATGTTGATTTATTTTTGAGAGAGAGAGAGAGAGAGCAGGGGAGGGGCAGAGAGAGAGGGAGACACAGCATCTAAAGCAGACTCCAGGCTCTGAGCTATCAGCACAGAGCCTGACACGGGCTTGAACCCACAAGCCATGAGATCATGACCTAAGCCAATGTCAGATGTTTGACTGAGCCACCAGGCACCCCGATCTTGTTTGATTCTTGATCCCAAAGTCCTTTTCGGGGATCATCCTACTGCTACTGCAACTGCAACTGAGATATTGCTTTATTTTTCTCTCAATGAAGCTCAGGTATTAGATTAGGGGGAAGTGAAGAATTTATCCTAATGGCTTATTATCTCTGCAGGCAACATTAACCTGAACACAATTCTGCTAGCTATGCAACACTCCTCAATCATTGAGTAACTCGCTTACATATATTGATGTAAGTAAGTCTCTGTACACATTTAGTTTCCATTATCACCATCAAGGGAATTAGCTAAGCTTTTATCACAGCATGTGCTGACCAGTGTTGAAGCTACTTGTGATATGGAATTATATTTTTTAAATTTTGGACACGTAAAACAATAACCTTTTATTTTTTTTATTTCAGGTTCACTCATACCATATATCATTACTCCAAATGAGCAAAGTCTGTATTTTGTCTCATGGAACCTTTGAACACCCTGCATTTATTTCCATGTGACAGCTCCTGCAATTATTAAAACCAGACACTGCCCAGGATCCTCATGGAGATAAGTCCTTATGGATAGCTAAATTTTCCAGTTAGAGGAAGCTTTATTATTTTAAGCAAAGAACTTTATTCTTAGTTGGAAGCTTTGGAAAATAAGATTCATATTCTGTTTTCCTAAACAAAAGGTCATATGATCATTTAGGACCAACATTATAACCAGTAAAATCCTGGTGACATACCTGGGTTCACTTGCCCCAGTACTAACTGGGCCTAGACTGACATGTTTTCATATTATTAAACGTGATTAGCACTGCTTTTCTGTATTTTACTTGTTATCATCAGCCCTTTTCTCCCTTTTCTATTTTGCTACCCCAAATCAATCATGAGTTTGGAAATGAGTTTACAAATCTTAATAGAATTGTGTATATTAAATGTAAATAGATATTGTATAAAAAAGCAGATTTTGAAAAAAATTTTAATGTTATTTATTTTTAAGACAGAGAGAGAGAGAGCACAAATAGGGGAGAGGCAGAAAGAGAGGGAGACACAGAATCCAAAGCAGGCTCCAGGCTCTGAGCTGTCAGCACAGAGCCCGATGTGGGGCTCAAACTCATGAACCACGAGATCATGACCTGAGCTGAAGTGGGATGCTTAGCTGACTGAGCCACCCAGGTGCCCCCAAAAGCTGATTTTTTAAATAAACATGGCATATCTTTCCTTTTATTTAGTTCTATTCCTTTCTTTTTCATTTTTATTTAAATTCCAGTTAGTTATCATACAGTATAATATTAGTTTCAGTGTACATTTTAGTGATTCAATACTTACATTCAACAGCTGGAAAAAATGATTTTTTTTAAAAAATACACAAGCTTTGCTGCAGTGTAGAATTCATGCTGGTTACTCAGAGGTCTTTTTGTTTTCCTCCTGTGCCCTTTGCAGGTGTTTTCAGCTCGCTTCCCTGGTCGGGGTGGGGAGACAGAGGAGTGACTTTGAGGATAAATAGCATCTGAATAAATCAGTTATCACTGAAGCAAGAGCTCTAAGAATCTGATATGTGACATTCCTTGGAACGTTTCAGAGTCTCAAATGCCACTAAGAAGCATTGACGTAGAATAAGGTGGTCCAGATATGAGGGACAGGGCAGAATTAGCAGGGTATTAAAGAAAAATCACTCCAGGAGAGGGAAGATGGCGGCGTAGGAGGATGCTGGGCTCAC